ATAGTCACTCTCATATACGAGTGCATATCCCAAGCCACTGAGGGAGCACCTATCCTGCTTGTACTTGGGAGGCTCAGGTAAAACAATTCCAAATTAAAGTCCAAGCAGCTTGGTGAGACTCTTTCTCAAAAAATTGAAAGGGCTGGGGATGTAGTTGAATGACAGCGAAGAAAAAAAAAAGATCAAATCAATCAAACGTGTACTTTCCAGATGTAACTTAGAGATGGCTCCTCATTTACTGCTTTCCTTGAATTTCCTAGCACATATCAAACATTAACCAGACGGACATCCTTATAGTATGAGCAGTTAGAATATGAATCTCAGTTCCACCATGTGAACACAGGCAGGAGAGTCACAGCTGCAAATGACAGAAAATCCCTTCAGGACCAAGAAAGGTAGAATCCACAAAGCACAGTGAAATTGATCAAACTTTCCCTTTTTCTCTTTTATGGCCTGTGCTTCGTTGACCTGGTAGATTCTGCCATAAGCTAGCTAACAACATCATCAGGTGAGGCTAGTATGGCTCTGTAGTAGTCATGTGCAGACACACTGCAGGTTGGGTTTCCTGTTCCCAGCAGGCCACAGGCCCCTGGCATAAGCCAGTGGTGATACTTAAACACTGATGAGGTGAACTCTTCAGGAGGCACAGTCAACACAGGGAAGTGAAATCACCAGGAATGTCACTGAAGGGACACTGGGAATACGGTCTCTGTCTCTGTCTCTGTCCTCTCTGTCTCTCAGCCTCCCAGATGACACAAGATATCATGAGAAGACCTGGGATGAGAATTTCTATTTTCAGCTGAAATATCCACCATGATGTATTCTGCTGCTTCTATCCCAAAGCAACAGAGCCAAATCATTATGGACTGAAGCCTCCAAAATGATGAGTAAAAACAAACCGTTACTCTTTTCTAAGTTGATTATCTCAGGTGTTTCGTCAAAGTAACACTATGTTTGTACAGAGGCACACTCTCCCACACACATTCACATACATACAATTCCTTAAGATACAGGAAATTCCTTTTACAATAACGCTATAGAACAGTGACCATTGGAAATGGTCTGGATCAGTCCTCCCAATGAGATATTGGAGTCGTGTGTGGTGGCCCACACTCCTGCGATCCTTGTGCTTGGGAAGCTGAGCATCAGAATCACTGCAGTTTGGGGCCAGCTAGAGCATCACGATGAGTTCAGGACCAGCAGGAACTGCACACTGAAACCCTGCCTCAAAACAACGAACCCAAACAAACAAATAGACAAAAAATACTAAAACATAAAGATGTTGGAGAAATATTTCCCAGGAGGGAAGACCATAGGAGAAGGAGAAGGAGAAGGAAGAGCTGACAAGATGGATACTCGGTGTATTAGTTTTATTTCTGTTGCTATAACAAAATACCTAGTGCTAGGCACTTCATAATGCCAGTTTGCAGTTCATGTTTTTGGAGGACTCTGGTGAGAACCTCATGGAATATAACACTGCAGTGGCAGGAGCATTTGTAGAAGATAAAACTGGAAGAAAGCCTCACGGGTCAGGCCTGCTCTTCTTGTGACAATCCATTGTGTCAGGACCTAACTCACCCAGTGAGAGCAGCATTGTCCTTCCCAGGGGCAATGACCCGTAACATAATCACCATGCATGAAGCCCTTTCTCTTAAAGCTTCTCCACCTCGCACTGCCACCATTTTGGGGACCGAGGTTCCATCATGTGAACCTGTGGGGCACACTTAAACCACGCTAAGTCATAGCACTGGATCAATTTGAAAATGTATTCACTGGAAAGATGAAAATAAGCTATTCATCTCTGGGAGTCGTGGGTGCTGCAGGTGCCCATTGTGCTTCACATGAACATCAGCAAACTGATTGCCCCGGACATCTTCCCAGTGAGCTGGGCTCCAGTGGAGATTGCAGTAGGGTTTTCAGTTACTGAAGAACTAACACTTGTCAAGAATTCATCAGAGAAAGCTGCTCACCCTCCATCCAGCTTGCAAGGAGACATCTACGTAGCTGAGGGATGCAGTGAGTGTAACCCAGCATGCTGCGTCCTTGACCAGGTTTGTGGAGCACATTATGTGGGCTGCACGTAATTCTGACTGCATAATTATGTTTCTGCAGATCTCTAGCTGCTTAGGTAACCACCTGCTGAGACTGTAAACTGCTCCACAGAGCAGAAGCTAAAGGGTCAACCTGTAGCAAAAAATGACACTGTAACAAAAACTGCTCTCACAGTCTCCTTTGGGAACACCGATCGGAACCACATTTGCAGTGAGAAGTTCAGTAGTGCAGTGGAAGGATTTTGTTAACTGTAGGGAAAGATGGAAGCAAACACAATCAAGACCCAGTGATGCTCAGAAGGGTCCGTGGGCAGCCACAGCCCCGTTGGCACCCAGACTGCTTCCACATTTATTTTGACTCGAAATGTATTTGGAGAGGATGCAAAATAGACCATTTCTAAAACTCTTCAGTGAAATTCTGTTCACACATGTGAGAGAAAAAGAAAGAGACAAAGACTCTTACACCAAAAGGTAAAGGGAACACTAGTAGTAGGAAATGACATCACACTTTTAGAAAGTATTTGGGCTGGGACACGGTAGTGTGCAGGCCTGGAGGCCCAGCACTCCTGAGACTGCGGTAACAGGGTCAACAAGCTCAAGCCAAGGTTGGGGAACTTAGTGACCTAGAGAGAGCTTGTCTCCAAAAACTGAAAAGTAAAGTTAGAAAGGACAAGGGATGTAGCTCAGTGTAAGGCCCTGAGTTCAGTCCTTACAGCGTACACACACACACACACACACACACACACACAGTGTAATTGATTACAACTGTATATAAATCAGGTAAACCACGGCTACTGGAAATGCTCGAGTAACATCTCAGAACAACCTATTTCCTAAACCATTACAAGAATAGCCATACTCCTTGGTCCTGGCTCACTTACTACCATTGTTAGTGATTTCTGAACCTCTGCGGAGTTTGCTTAGTTTGTTCTGATGTGAGATGGCCACCAGGCGGCGGGCAAGTCAAATATTGCAGCAGTTCAAATCAGCGTGAACCTAATCAAGCTTAGGTGTAATCACTGAGGTTTTTCGTAGGGTTTGTCCTTGGAAAAAGTTAATGGATTGTGTGATGTTTTAATCAAATTTATTCCATCCTGGTTATCACTGGGACTACACTAACCATGTCACTGGAAATCCCTGGCAAGGGTCTCTAGTGAGCTCCTGAAGCTCTGAAGAGACCCTCTCTGCTGGACCACAGTTGTCTTATTCTTGGCTTGATGTACTGTAGATAGTTATTCATTCATCAAACACTGGAGTGTCTTCTGCATGGCCGTTGTTGACACCTTGGTTAGATGACCTGGTTCTCTTCCTGCTCCCATCATGTCTGGCTCTACCTCTAACCCATGTTCCAGTCCTGGTACAGGGGCAGGGCATCTACAGCCTGGCTCCATGCAGGAGATGGACTGTTTGAAAAACTAAGCTAAGCCTAACACTGTTATCTCTCCTAGAATCAGCTCGTCACTATGGGGCATACGGTAAGAAGCAATCAAAGAAAACCAAGCACTCCACTCCTCTACTTCCTTCTTGCTTATTCCATATAAGCACCAGACTACCAAGAATCAAAGCCTAACATTGTTATAATAATTGATTCTTTGTTATTGCTCATCGATGTAAATAAATCTGCCTCCAGTCCTCGGTAATGTTTCACTGTTTCTGTTTGGCATAGCAGCATGAGCATGAGTTCTAACATGATTTAGATCATGTTATTTTGTTTGATGAATGTTTGCACCATTTGAACCAATTTCTAAAAATTAAATAAAATGGTCTCTATGAAATAAAACTTTTGCAAGGGCTGGTAAGGGGCCTGTGATGAGCTCTCTGGTGGTCACTCCCACAGAGTTGTTTGGAAAGGAAGGCAGTTTTGAAGGTGAGAGTCACTGGCTCTGGGCTGAAAGGAGGTGTTATCTTGGCTCTAAAAAAGATGTATTTTTCTTCTATATGAAAGATTCTATAATTAACCAGGCCAAAAGAACTATCTTTATTTTTTTTTAATTTTTTTTTATTTAAGGAGAAAAAAAAACAGTGAAAGGGTACAAGTTATACAGATTTACAGAAGAAAAAAATGAACAGTAGGAAATCATTAGTTAATGGATTACATATTGCCATCTTAGAAATAATTGTTCAAGTCACAAAATTAAAGCTTGAAGAGTGGACATTCCAACAATGATACTGCAAACAGTTCTGTTCAATGATCCAATAAAACTCTGTGATATCATTTTCTATCTTATACACTTAAATATACATGCAGTTATATAGTTTAGAGCACTTTCTTTTCCTCTCTTTTGTACAATGACTATTACACATTTTGGGTTTCATTGCTCCCACGGTTCTTATTGCTTTTTTGGAAGAGAGTAAAACCAAATGAGACATAACAGAACAGAATCGGTCAAGTCAAAAGGGTGGACATAATAGATAATATAAAAACATAATACAAGGTGATCAACAATGGTTACCATAATGCCTCCCGCTATCTCTAATAGAATTGCCTATATCATTAGTTATAATACAATTGAACAAAACAGTAAAGAACAAAACTGACAAAACCAAAACATTGGTGACATTGTAGGTCTTCAAAAGTAGATAAAAGTCAACGAGAATGGGTGTTATAATGAATCTCATTATCTTCACAGCTGATGCCTAAACTTTCGAACCTGATACTATCCAGCAAAACAGAATAGGGGAACATCAGTTAAAAACCAGATGGTGAGAGTAATACAGGGCTTCAAATCGAGATAATAGAAAGTCAAAGTGGGTTACTATATTATATCCTGCTTTTTTTCCCTTTAATTAAATGGATAAAAATAAAAAAGTAAATAATGAAGTGGAGATTGAGAAACAAGAGGGCATAACAGCGAAACAGCGCAGATCAAAACATAACCATTTAAGCAGAATAGTATTTCACCACCAGATAATTCTGACCCAAAACTAGTTACCATATTGACTCTTTCCTTGAAGTCCTTGAGTACAACTTCGTATACTGTAGCATTAAGTATATCAAAACAATGTAAAACCATTTAAGAGAATGACAGCATTACAGAGTATTTAGAATCGACTAACAGAAAATGAACAATGGTTTCTGTATAATCTCCTTGTCTTTAAAAGGTTTTTGCTTATACTATCGTACATAATAAAATCCAATAAGATACAACCTGTTTAGACCATTGGAGACAGAAGAACAAAAGCTAGATGAGACTTCAAAACAAGATGATACTAAATCAGTATTACCTATTAAGATGTCATTTTCTCCAAAATAGCTGTTCCTATCACCCAATCTTCTCTGTCTCATTTCTGTTGAGCTCTTTTTCTGTCAGTAGCTGTCAGTTTGTCTTCTTCATTTTGTTCTCTGCTCCATTCGTTGTGGCCTCTCTGCCACTATTTCTGGGTTCTTTGTATTTTTCTTTTTTTAGAATATCCTGCAATACTTTCTGTAGGGTTGAATTGGTGGTTGCAAATTCCCCCAGTTCCTCTTTATCCTGGAAGCACCTTGTTTTTCCATCAATTTCCAGGGACAGTTGTGCAGGATATCTCAATCTTGGCTGGAGATTATTATCTTTCAAAGCTTGAATTATTTCCCCCCATGCTCTTTGTGATTTGATGGTTTGTGCAGAGAAATCTGCTGTAATTCTGATGGGTGTTCCCTTGTAAGTGGTCTGTTTCTTGTCTCTTACAGCTTTTAATATTCTGTTCTTGTATTGAATTTCTGGAATTTTTATTATTATATGCCTGGGTGTTGCTCTGTTTGGGTTGTAGATAGCTGGGGTCCTGTTTGCCTCATACATCTGAGTATCTTTACCTTTTGCTAAATTAGGAAAATTCTCCTGGATTATTTCTGTGAGTAGCTTTTGTAGTTCACTTGTTTGTGTCCCTACTTCTTCTTTTATGTTCTTAATCCTTAAGTTATGGCTCCTCTTATCATCTTCTTGTATTTGTATTATTGCTGTTTGTTTCTTTGTTATTTTTAAGAAGTTTTTCATTTCATTCTCCCATGTTACGAGTCTGCCCTCCAGCTCAGATAGTCTGTCCTTAGTTTCTTTCAAGCTGTTATGCCAGTCTTGGATAGACTTCTTAATTTCTTGATAGTCCCTTTGAACCTGCTTCACGTACTCTATGCTTTCTCTGTTTTCTCCATCAAACAATTCTCCCCTCTTTTTCTGTTCTTCCATTCCACCATCTGCTTTTTCCTGGGTGGTGCTTACCATTTCTCTAACTATTCTGCATACTTCTAGCTTCAGGTCGTTGATAACTTCATTCCTGAATTGGTCTATGAGGCTCTCTATATGGCACTTAATGTCTATTGGTGTGGTGTCCACTATTGCCTGTTTCTCAGAATTGGGGGCCGAGGAGCCTTTCTTGTTGCTTCCCTTCCCCATATTCTCTGTTCCTTATATATATGCAAGGTTACATAGGAGGCCCAGCTTCCCTGCCTGTCAGCCACAGCCTGATCACACTGCGCTGGCTAGGTGTTCCCGCCCACCCCTGTGCACCAGGGAGTTGCGGACTAGGCAGCCTACGCGGAAGTCAGTCACCCCTCCGGGCCACAGTCAGGCTCTGGGATCTGGGTTGGGCCAGCCTACCAAGTCCGCCCGCAGCATCACGCAGGCCAGGCACTTTTCACCAATCCCATCTGAGAAGGGAATGTGTGGCTGGAGTTGCCACCGCGCCCTGCTCTTACAGGACTGCCGGAACCCAGAAAGTCCTCCGCTGGAGTCAAACTGTGGTAGAGTGTCAGTTTCTCTCACTCATCTCGCCACAAGTCAGTGTACGCCTCCTAGTCCGTCCTGTTTTTGACTTCGTTCGCAGACTCCCGTTCCCAGAGCTTCTGCGCGTCTCTCCTTGTCGAGCCGATGTAGAGGCAGCCAGCTGCTGAGCGGCGGGAAAGCCAAATCACGGTTTCCAATGGCGCGGGGTCCAGCCTCCACACCGAGTCTTTTCTGTTCCTATTTTAGCGCCAGGACTGCATTCCAAGTTGGTTTTTCTCAGCCCAGTTCGTTCCTGAGTCAGCAGAGCATATCTCTACCGGATCATGTCTCCTTAGTCCTCATCATTCCTGACTTCTGAGCCGAGCCTTTCAGAGAGCCTCCGGTAGTTGCTGTTATCTGTCCCCCATGTTCTCCCAGAAGTCCAAAAGAACTATCTTTAAAAAGCCCAGGAAAAGGACCCAACAGAGAAGACAAATGTAAATATTTCAGCATTTTCTGGGTCCAGAGACAGAAGGCTGACTTATTAAGATACCAAGTTTAGTAACTTTTCTGCCCCCTGAACAATTCATCCTTCCTTGTACCCCAGGCCACTGACTCTCTTGTCTTCCTTTCCTGACTTAGTTTCCCAGGCTTTAGTAGCATGTATAGTTGCAGGTATAATAATGTTTCTGTTATTGCCATAGATGGGACGATTTGTGTTTTATCACTGTCTAAACCCAATGGAGATTTAGAATCTGTGTTTTCTAACAGGGAAAAGAAAATTTATGAAGCTTTAAATTTTTCATTCAGACTCAGGCAGAAATTTTCTCCCACTGATTTAAGTTTGAAGGAGCAACAAATGTAGTGATTTTATCTCACCACAGACAGAATTGCTGCCACCAAGAATGTATAAACAATGCTGGCAATGTCTAGTGGAGAAGAGGAACTTTTATACTCTGTTTGGGGGGAATATGTGGCAATCAGTATGGAGGTTCCTCAAGAAACAAAAGCAGAGTGACCATGTGACACAGATCCTTGGTGTACACCCAAAGGAATTAGTGGCGGTGTACCATGGAAGTCCCTGCATGCATCTGCACATCCAACACAATTCATGGATTTCAAGATATGGAACCAGCCTGGAGCCCATCATGGAGGAAGTCACAAAAATGCAGGACACACACACCAGGGAGGAAGCAAACCCTGCCATGTGCAGAGAAATGGATGGAGTGGGAGCTCATCCTGAGAAATAAGCCAGGCTCAGAGCACGGAGCATCGTGCTTTCCTGCAGTGTGGAATGTCGGGGGACAAGGAGATGGCATTAAATAGAAGGAAGATAGAGGAGAAATGGAAGATCAAGGGAGGGCTGTGAGGATGATAAGAGAGGGTAGGACATGATCAAAGTGTGTTATGTTCATGCATAAAATGCCATGTGAAGTAAATATTCTGTGAAATTATAGTGCAGCCATGAAGGACCAAGTATGCTTTAAACTTCACAAAACTAGATTCAAAATTCTTTAAAATCAAATTGTGAGCAGAGGTGTTGGCACGTTCCTTTAATCCCAGCACTCAGGAGACTGAGGCGGGACCATCACTGTGAGTTTGAGGACAGCCTTGAGCTCATGGCTAGCCTGCACTATTATATAGGGAGATATTTACTCATAAAATAAATACATTCTAAAATGTGAAATAAGGAAAACTGTGATCATTTGAGGGTCTGCAGCCAAATTTCTCACATGTGAATACAGGACTGCAGACTTTAATGAGCATCATATTTGTGACTTAGATATTCACACTGTCTCTGTCTCTATCAAAATTATTGCCATTATTTTGTGAAACGTGATATTCTATGTTCATTTGAAGGTAACGCTGATGTGCACACAAAGTACTTACAAATATCTTTGCAATTGTCTTTCATCTGCATCGGTTAAAGTCAAAGTCCTTGGTGTGACTGGAATCATGGACTGACAGTGAAAGAGCCCGGCATCATTTGACTGTGGTATTATGAAGTGGAGTCTTGTGACTGTGCATTTATATATGGATGAGGTTATCTTCAAAATGAAAATAACATTTGGTAAAATATCCCCACATAAAACCACAAGTTCAAGTTGTGAAACACTAGAACTGACTTTGAGATGGCTACATATTTCCAGGAAGTCGGATGTTTTTTCCAGTCCGTGCAATAAATGTTACACTAAGGGAGTGTACACTAGAATTCTCACACAGTGTGGTTCACCTAAAGTCACATCTCACTACACATAACTTTTTCATAAAACTTTTCACTTCTGTGTTCCTCAATGTGTAGATCTGAGGGATGATAAAGAGTGTGCCAGTCATATGAAATACAGTCACCATCCTGTCTACTGGAAAGGTGGATGTGTGCATATACATATACATGGGCTAAAGAACATGACAACCACAATGGAGTGGGAGGTGGAAAGATTTTCTCGCCTTCCTTCCGTGCTATGGCTTCTCAGAGAGAACAAGATAACAATATAGGAGACAAGCTGCATTATGAAGCTCAACACACATACGACTCCACAGTTAGACACAGCTAACAATTTATCACCTAAGTGTCCATGCAGGCGAGGTTCAGCAAGGGCTGCAAATCACAGAAATAGTGAGCAGTCACATTGGGGTGACAGAAGGGCAAGCTTAAAGCCAGGAAAATCTGTGCTGAAGAATGAATGGAAGAATTATTTCTTTAACCTTTGATTTAGTGTGACCATAATTTTACCTTCATTTTGGTCCAGTCATATGCGTTATTTGAAAATGACATTTTTAAGAAAATTAGTGTGCATTTGAAATAACCCATGACTCACGTTAGACGTTTAGCTTTGAATTTAATATTTTATGTTTCAAATGTAATATGCCACTTATTATGTACCTGTAACCTGAATAATGCCTTAACTAATTAAGGTATACTTACCATTTTAATTGATCCACTTTTTGCCTCTTAAAACAGTTTTAAAGTTTCATTTCATGTTTCAGCCTGCGGATGTTTTCCCATTACTCTACACAAGTCCCATACGTATATGTATATATCTAGAATTTCACTCACCCTGCAATATTTTGCTTTCTGATTTTCATAGAACATGCATAATACAATCATCCATTTTACCCACTGTAATTTAACATATCAAAATTTCACGACTTTCATTATTTTAAATTTATTTTCAAATTTCTACTCTGATAAAAAACTTTTGAGTAAGTCTTTTCTCATTTCATACTTTCCACTTTAATAATTTCATTAAGATGAGTTACGAGGATTTCTGAGACATGTATATTTTCATGATTTTGACTATTATCAAATGTCCTCTTAATTTCATTGTTTCAATATTGACTAGAGACACTTTGGTTGTAGCAAAGAGATACTTTCACAATAAAATATCCAAAGATTACAGTGGATTACAGGGTTATAAAGTATCGTGTTAAAATACACATTTTTCTAGTCTCACTTTCCAGAGGTAAGTGATAATTCCCCACCAATTTTCCTAGATTGTTCAGAGTTACATATCAGCATATTTCTAATTAAACATTCCTGCATGTACATGTTAAGCTTTTTATCCCATATTTTTTAAACTGTAGCAATATGAAATGTATTTTTAATAAAAATAACCCTGAGGCAATGTCTTACTTGCTTGGTTACTAGAATAAATTTAGTACATAAATTTCTTTAATTATGGATAACAGTACAAAATGTTTGCATATTTTTCTTTCTTGTATTATATCCATTCTATACTAGGTGACTCTCTTGACAGTTAATTTTTTGGTATATTTACATTTTGAGCTCTTTTTTATTTTATATGCTCAAATTACCAATTTTCCCTTTCCAATGTAGCCAATTACTTTCAATTCAGAGTTATTATCTTTGTTCTAACTCATAGTATTACTAGAATTTATTTATATATTGTTATTTATGGATTTTCAAATAAACTAACTTTTTCTGAATAATCAAAATTTCATCAATAAATTCACTGCATTTTAGATTTATCACCATACATGTGCCAAGAAGCTACTTAAATATTCAGAAACTAGAATAGCACCAGAAAATTGGATTATGTACACTACTTTAAAATTACAAATTCCTCATCACTGCATATAAAGTGAAAGTCCTTTTTTTTCCCAAAAATTGCAGAGCCCAACATGAGTCAATGTCAGAGAAGTTTCAAAAAATGAGTAAGAAAAGGGACTATGGCTTTAAGCAGTATACCAAAGTTTACAACAATTTTTTTCTGCAACATCCATGTCCTAGTAACCA